AGTGCACTCAACGTGGGATACGGTGGATTCCCTAAATATTGTTCTCTAGTGTTGATGATGCGGTGGAACCAGTTCTTGCTCAGTCGCGCCTTCCCACCAGATCGCTCGTGCAGATCCTCAGCTGCTTGTGCTAGCAGTATGGCGACTGGCTCTTTCGGAGGTGTGCCAGCCAATGCTTTCGTGACGGTATCTCTCCAGAATTGCATGCGCATCATGCCAATTGTGGGTGTGCTGGTAGTGTCGGCGACGCGGGCGACATCGACGTTGAAGGCGCGGATCGCGAGGTAGGCATCTCGGGAGGATTGCGGTATGAAGGTTTGAAGGACATGTGAGGGCGCATCATATGTTCTGCCGTTTCGTCAGTGTGCGACAGAAGAGAGTTGCCGTTATGAAGCTACCTGACTAGATTCGCGCAGTAAGCACGTGCGCGTGCAATCTCATCTTCTGAAGGGCGAGCAGCATTTTGCAGTCGTGGCGAGGTGTGAAATTGCCTCCGTCGTGGTCTTGGATAGGTGTGTATGCGCCGGACAGGAGCTATGCGGAGCCTCGGAGGCGGCATTGAAAACTTTTGAGAAGACGAAAACTACTGTACAGAGCGAAGATGCATGGGAATCGAGCAGAGAATGAAACAAAATCGATCTACAGCCCTAGAAGATGCATGTGTTTGCGCAATCTGGGGGAGGCGCAATTGCTCGTAAGGCACAAAGAGTGCACGGCGACTGGTGGGTTGTATGACGCTATTACGTCGATCACCCGCAGTCGCCACGTGAAAGCGCGTCGACGCGACTGGACGAATTGGGTGCATGCGAGGAAAGCGCAACACCAACACGCACAACACAACACGATGGAGTCACCACACCCAGACGAGAGACCCGTCAAGAAGCGCCGATTCTTCATAGAAGACTCCTCCCCTACTCAGCCGCCGTCGAAACCCATCGAACCTCCCCCATCGTCGCCGCCACTACACGCCGCAGAACCACCAGACGAAAGCAATGGCAACGACGAAGAGACCGATTTTGGGAGTTTCGATGTCGGAATGCTCCAGGCCGTTGTTGGAGAGCTCTCTACCACGGTATTGCAGAAGCTGAAAGACGTCAGTGGAAGCAACGTAGAACGAGGTATGCCAGTAAGTGTGAGGTTGTAGTTGCATGGCTAACAACGTGTAGCAATTAACCTCTACTTGGACGGCTCATGGAGCAAGATGCCCTCACCATCCCCCGCACCCGTCTTCAAATCCGGTCGGCAGCCGATTCAGATGACGATAGCGAAAACCCTCAATCGAACCGAATCCGAAATATCGAATGCGTCCACACCAGGTTCAGGCACCTCTACACCCACGATACTGCGAGAGATGCCCAGTAAGCGCTACATTGGCTCTTTTGGCGTCGTAGGCTTTGCCACCAAGAGCGGATCTCAGCTGAAGCACGACGAAAAGATACGGATCGAGCGCACCAAGCCACAACCTAAACTCAACAAGGCAAAGAAGGTCATCAAACTCTCGAAACCGGATATCGTAGTCAGGTTCATGAATGAGCGTGGTGCTGAAGTCGGCAGGTTGGACAACGATTCAGCAGCATGGGTATCCGTGCTCCTCGATCAGAAAGTGTGCTCTTTCGACGGCTCTGTTGTATACACACCCGACAAAATACGCACAGGCGATACTATATACCTACAGCTACGAGCCTTTTTCGTTCGCGCAGCATTCGATTCGCGTAAATTTGCCAAACCGGACAACAACCGAGAGATCAATCTGTTCGAAGAGAAGGAATCGTCCGACGAGCGAGACCTTCGGCTACGGCAAGTCGGTCTTGTGAAGCTGTTCGATAACATCAACCTCCAACCGACCCGCGAAAATGAAGAGACGGCGAAGCACAAGCGACAAGGTCTATTACAGGCAGCAGAGAGTGAGGAGAAGAAAGGCGATAAGCCGAAGCCGAAGAACGGAACATCCTCCACGCCTGCGACGTCTACCAATCCCACATCCTCCCCGCCACCCGACGAAGCCGAAGAAGGAGAAGAGCTGGAGCAGGATCAACTGGACTCACTGTACAAGAAGGCGCAGTCTTTTGACTTCGACACCCCAACCATGGAGCCAGCAAGCACCTTCCGCATGGACTTGCGCAAGTATCAGAAGCAGGCGCTCTTTTGGATGGTCAGCAAAGAACGGAATGAGTGGATAGAGGACAAGGAGACCTCGATGCATCCCTTGTGGGAGGAGTACCAGTGGCCAACTCACGACGCAGACAATCAGCCAATACCGACCATCGAAGATCAGACCATGTTCTACGTCAATCCCTACTCTGGCGAGCTCTCGCTTGAGTTCCCGAAACAAGAGCAGAATTGCCTTGGCGGTATACTCGCTGATGAGATGGGTCTGGGTAAGACTATCGAGATGCTCAGCTTGATCCATACAAATAGAACAGAAGTTGACGAGGATGCGTTGGCGACGCGGAAAGCTCTTCCCCGGTTGCAAAAGCTCAGTGCCGAAGTTGAGCCTGCGCCATACACCACACTCGTCATAGCACCCATGTCATTGCTGGCACAATGGCACAGCGAAGCTGAAAAGGCGTCCAAAGAAGGAACACTGAAGGCCATGCTCTACTATGGCTCGGAGAAGGCTGTAAACCTTCAGAAGCTATGTTGCGCATCAAACGGAGCCAATGCGCCCAACGTTATCATCACGAGCTACGGCACAGTTCTATCAGAGTACAACCAGGTGGTTGCTCAAGAGGGGAACCGTGGCTCGCATGGTGGCATCTTCTCGCTCGAATACTTCCGCATCATCCTCGACGAAGCGCACTACATCAAGAATCGGCAGTCCAAAACGGCCAAAGCATGTTACGAGCTCAGTGCAAAACATCGATGGGCGCTTACAGGAACACCGATCGTCAACCGCTTGGAAGACCTGTTCAGTCTAGTCCGCTTCCTCAAGGTCGAGCCATGGGCGAACTTCTCATTCTGGAAGACATTCATTACCGTTCCCTTTGAATCAGGCGACTTTGTACGTGCCTTGAATGTAGTACAGACGGTGCTAGAGCCACTGGTGCTTCGTCGAACGAAGGACATGAAGACACCTGACGGTGAAGCTCTGGTACCACTGCCCCCACGGACGATCGAAGTCGAGAAGATTGTGCTGTCACAAGACGAGCGGGATGTGTACGACCACATATTTCTGCGCGCAAAAAGTCTGGTCAATGCTAATGCAGAAGCCGGCACACTGATGAAGTCGTACACAACCATCTTCGCGCAAATTCTACGACTACGGCAATCATGCTGTCATCCTGTACTGACACGCAATCGCAACCTTGTCGCCGATGAAGAAGATGCCTCGTTGGCATCGGATCTTGCAAATGGACTGGCGGATGATATGGATCTCTCCTCTCTGATTGAACGTTTCACTGCAGAAGGTGATCAAGATGTCAATAGGTTCGGCGCACATGTCTTGAAACAGATACAAGACGAATCCGCGGCCGAGTGTCCAATCTGCTCCGAAGAACCCATGATCGAGCAAGCAGTCACCGGCTGTTGGCACTCAGCCTGCAAGGAGTGCTTGCTAAGTTACATAGCCCATCAGCGTGACAAAAACGAGATACCACGCTGTTGGAACTGCCGCGAACCCATCAACGCGCGCGATGTCTTCGAAGTCATCCGGCATGACCACGCCCCCGGTGACGAAGACAACCACGCTTTTCGATCCGCCGACGCACCGCCTACTTCAACACAAACACCGCGCATCAGCCTTCGTCGCATCGGCGTCACCGGCTCCGCGAAAACTCAAGCCCTCCTAGGCCATCTCAAAAAGACACGCAAAGAAGAAAAGGGCGCGAAAACAGTCGTCTTCTCCCAATTCACATCCTTCCTCGACCTCATCGAACCAGCTCTAACCCGCGACCACATCCCCTTCCTCCGCTTCGACGGCTCCATTAGCCAGAAAGTACGCGCCCAGATCCTCACCGAGTTCACCACTTCACCCAAACCATACGTCCTGCTCCTCAGTCTGAGAGCAGGTGGTGTAGGCCTGAACCTGACGTGTGCAAACAAAGTCTTCATGATGGACCCATGGTGGAGTTTTGCTGTTGAGGCCCAGGCTATCGACCGTGTGCACCGTATGGGTCAGGAGAGGGAGGTTAAGGTCATAAGATTTTGTGTGGAGGGGAGTATCGAGGAGAAGATGCTTAGGATACAGGAGAGGAAGAAGTTTATGTAAGTGTAACGCGTGTTGCTAATTGTGAAGGGTGGGTGCTAACGTGTTGCAGTGCGAGTTCGCTGGGTATGATGAGTGATGAGGAGAAGAGAGTGCAGAGGATTGAGGATATCAAGGAGCTGTTGAGTTAGATGTGAGTGGCCTGGCGGCTGTTTGCAGGGTATAGAGTAAGTGGATGATTATATGCGATTATACCCTTTTTGAGTAGGCCTACGACATAGAACAGGAATCCATGACTGCATAGTATCTCCGTCGCTAGACGATCGTGTGGTACGAAGTGGTCGACTTCCGCGCTCCTGCCTCATCGTGCCTTCCCAAAGCTCCCGCAACCCTCCCGGCCACGCCTGCCACGACCATCAGCGACTGCCACAACACATCAAGATGACGCGTAGCAGCTCCTGCATCAGGCCATGACGCTTCCGCATCGCCGCACATACGTCTCGCAATATTGCGTGCCACCGGCATCCACATATGCCATCCAATCCCCTTTCATCCCATCAAACACCATCTCACGGGCATGTCGTCTAATGGTAGGACGCTTGAGCACAGTACACCTTCTCTCCCCTCTCCCCATGAATACAATTCGTGGCTCTCACTGGCGATTCAACTCGTTGGCTCTCTCCATCAAGGCAACTTGTTGGCTCATTCCATTCGCCACCGCTTCCCACTGATTAACTTCTTTGGTTACGAGAAATGCGGGTTCGATTCTCGCCATGTCCATCATGATTTTTTGTTCCGCTCAATGTCCGTTGCTATAGCTTTAGCCATCCTTGAATCGCCCACCAACGACTATCAAGGGCATGTCGTCTAATGGTTAAGATACTCACCTAGACGACTAGGGCGTATCCATCGTTTTCCTTTGGGTATTGCAGAGAAATGCGGGTTCGAGTCTCGCCATGTCCAATCGTTTTTGCTCTTCGCGATGGCCCAATAGCTTCATTTTGGATTAGGACGCTGCAAAGGGCCGCCTTGCTATGTCGGCATGGTTTGCTATCGCAATGTTTGACCGCACAAACGCCTCCAAACAACTTACTTCCTTTTCTTACCACGCTGCAACTCGATCTAATGTATCTTCTCTTACTCACCGGCAACCTATCGAAGATGTTCAAGGCATATAGTATAATGGCCAAGACGCCCTAGGAATAGAACCGCGATGGGTGTGTAGCGCTGTCGCTGGTCCTGCAGTTAGCGGAGAAAGCTACAGTTGAAAACGCCGCCCTGATCTGTATATAGGGAGATGCGAGTTCGAGTCTCGCTGTGCCTATCTTTTTGGCGGTTTTGAAGCTACCTAAGGGAAGAGGAGAGCGGGGTAAAGAGGTGGTAAGATTGCGGGTGAGAGAAACTGTGGATCGGAGTGCTACTTTGGAGCAGTCTTGGGTTGAAATCTTCTCTTTTGCTATTACTCTTGTTTTGCAGATATCTATATCTATTGCGTAACTCAGCGTCTTTACTATAAACACACTAGCAGGGCATGTGGTCTAATGGTCACGACGTTGGGACCTTACCTTGTGGTAACAAGCAAGGGCTGGTAGTCTGGCCTTCAACGGTTTAGGCGAGGGCAATAACGGGTGGCTCTGACACCCGTTCCTTTCTGAAGATACGGATTCGATTTCCGTCATGTCCATTACTTTTTTGCTGTTTATTGACGGTACTGATATGCATTGGGAAGGTAAGGTAAGGCAAGAGATAAGATAAGAGAAATGGCTAACGTGGTAGCTTGGTGAATTGGTATAGCTGACTTGTAAGACAGCGCGATAAGTAAAGAGCTAGGTCCATACAACGAAGCAGATCTGTTGATGCCGCGAACCTTCTCAGTAGTGATATCTCCAACCCGTCGGGGTTTCTTCCTTCTTGCCCTTTCACATATCTTGTTTCCTTACAAAGATATTCATATCTGGAAGCCATTCTACCTTCCGCGGGTGGTGGAACATTTTAGCAGGCAGCTTTTCTCGCGGACCCTCACCCTCGAGACCTGTCTGGGTCTGCACGTATCGATCTGACAGAAACCTCGCCACGGCTGGTGATCCACGGTCCTGGATTTTGAAGATCTTCTGCTCTTGGTCGGCAGCGAGATGATCGCCCATGATGATAGCTGGTCCCGATTCCGATGCAAATAGATCAGCGATAATTTGAGCCCAAGGATATGCGACCGGCAAGTTGGGGGCGATGACCATGGTGTGTGAGTCGATCGCGAGAAGACCGTCTGGATCCCGCACGAACTCTATTTCGCTGCTGGCTTCACAGCCCATAGCTGCATGTAGTTCTTTGAACAGTATCCAGTCCTTCTCCAGGTAGTGAGGGTTTTGGAGTAGGATCTGTATCTTCCTTCCTTTCTCTGCACCCTTCTTATAGCGCTCGGCTAAGATGTTTGCGATACAGAAAACGGAGATGTGTTGGAATGTACTGTTGTAGGTGTTGTAGGCCCAATATGGCCTGAGTGCTCCTAGGCCAAAACACACAATCTTCTCAATCTGCGTTGGGATGCTCACGACATCCTTGATGGTGTTGGTGAAGCTGCCGCGTAGGTCGCTTGTTCCCCAATAAGCTAACGACTGTGCTATCGCATCGCGGCATCGCTTCATCTCTCCCGCATAATCGAAGTCGGAGTCCTTCTCCGGATATATGGGAGTGAGCGCGTATGGAGCGTCGTAGAAGAAACCTCCAACCGGCTCAGTGATAGTGTTGTTGTCCACTCGCAGCCAGAATACTGCTTCCGACTTCCATCCACACTCGCGCTGAAAGTCTCGATCCAAGAATATACGAGGCATGAAGTCAACTCTGACGTGTTCGATTGGATCACGCTCGATTCGACCGCAATTTTTCTTTTGCCAAACTTTCGTAAGACGGCCATTCGGGTCTCGCCAGGTGAGGTATTCCGTCCTTATGGGGACGCTCGGGAGGTTTATCTGGTGAAGGGCCTCTTGCTGTTGCGCGCGAATTTCTTGAAGCAGAGGACGTGTATAGATCGGTATGTTGTTCCGCAGCTTCTCCAGAGCAACGAGATCGACAGGGTAATTGTACCACTCATACTTTGTCGGAGGTTGTTCCCAATATGAGTCCTCATCCTCATCCTCGACGTCGAAGTCAGAGTCAGAGTCAGAGTCAGAGTCAGAAAAGCAGCTACAGCCACGGAGATGGTCAGGGCCACAGTAACGTCTAGTTTTTACCCTAGAGTCGCTCAATGAAGGATAATCAGAATGGCTGCCCGTGCTCTCCGCGTCAGGTGTGACGTCATCAGCCGAGACTGATTTCTCTGATATTGAAGGTATATCAGCAGATGCGTTGGCCTTGGACTGAGATCTTGTTGTTGCAGGCATGGCGAGAGGTGGGGTAGATGTTAGGAAATGAACCAGTTAGTGGGTTGAGGAAGATGAAGTCGAGGAAGATGGAGATGAGATCGATATGAATGTGCCCAGGCAGCAACTTATAGTATTGCGCACGTACCTCGTCGTACGTATTCACTAGCAAACGGAGAACAAACAATGTGGGTCTCAGACCAGGCGCATCCGTGAAGGTGAGGAGTGAGTCGGACTGATGTATTCACTAGGTATTGTGGTGGCCGTCTATTCGATGTCTTAAGCCCGTGCGAAGGCTGCAAAGGTCTAAGACATGTGCGAGCCAGATGTCCTTATCCCGATTGACTCGTCATAGCCGTACACGGACGCCGTGAGTTGCAATCCGTGACGCTATGTGGGTGAGTCCTGGCAGGATGATACGTACTATGACAGCATCTCGGGGGCTTTCACTTGCCCAGTGAGCTTAAATGAAAACGTTATTGGCTCGCGCTGCGCTTTCGCACCCATAAATCCATCTTATTCAACCAATACATCCTGTCCTTCTCCACCCAATCTTCTCCATATACATCTGCCATGAGCTCATCATCTAATCCGTGATCTTCAAATCTATCCTCTTCCCTTTCGTAATAGTTTGTGAAGTGCTGGGCAACATGTGGAGATGCGCGCTCGCTGAACGAGTACTTCCGCTTCTCAGTGTTGACTTCCATGATGTCGCATAGTATTGCCGCTGGGCCTTGACCAGGATTTTCCGAGATTAGATCAGCAATTATCTGGACCAGGGGCATTTGGAAGGGGAGATACGCTGTCACGACCAGCGTACCCGCATCGATTGCGAGAAGACCATCTGGGTCAGACACGAAGCTGATATTGTCGTTGTTGTTGAATAGTTTTCGCAAGATCTCATGATCTTTGGTCTCGTAATTCGGATCTTGTAGTACCAGCTTGATCAAAGGCCGAGCGGGGTCAGCCTGATGGTAGTACTGATTTAGTGCTTGTATAATGCTGAAGATGGCCATATATTGGATGGCGGAATGGTACCAGTTCTTCTTAAGATTAAGCGCGCCTATCCCAAAGCAGACAACCTGCGTGATCGGTGCGCACGACTTGGCTGTCTCCTGGAATGCTTCTATCAGCTGTCTTTTCGCGGAACTCGCTATCCAAAGGCGTTTTGTGTGTTGTATAGTGCTCCAATATGTCCTCATCTTCGATATGTTCTTGTGTTCATTGAAGAAGCATCGATCAAAGGTTGTGAAAGTGTATGGCGTGTCGATGCAGTCTTGCTTGTGGTCTTTGTTGTAGCGTCGGAGAGTCTTGATCTGTTCTGAATGGTTTCCATATTGACTTTGAAAGTCAGGATGCATCTCAACTCGCGAGAGATAGTCAACTTGGATGGTGTTGGCCTTAACGTCATCCCGATTCCAGACCCTGTACTTTTTCTTGCTCAGCCCAGAAGCATCAATATGATTGAGTACTCGCTGCTTAGATGCCAAAGAGAACTCTCCATGGATCTGATCAGCCCAGTCTTTTACACGCTCGAGTAGTGCGCGCGTATAAACTGGTTTGTGCGCATGCTGGAGCTCCTGAGTAGCAAGATCTACACGGTATTCGAATGCATCAGAGTCGTCTGAATCGTACGGGTCAATCTCCTCGGGGGTCACGAATTCGTCTTCGTGTACTTCGTAGTCGTCTTCTTCCTCTATGGCAAGCTTGTGGACTCCATCGACTACGTCTGCAGCCGGTTCGACAGATCCATACGATGTTGTCGTCGCAAACAAGTCGGTTGATTGATGCGAATCCATTGCCTGCGTTTAATGAAGGATCTAGATGTAAACGTTGCACTGATTTGTATAGTGGGTTGAATGGTTAGAATATTTCTGTTTAGAAGCTTGAGCCCTGGAGCTTTCTACTGCGGCCTTTTTCACACTGTTGAGAGAACCGTGGTTAGAATGTCACTGTGAAATCTCTTCCATGTTCAGAGAGCCAATACGACCCAACCCCATTCAAACCAGTGTATTATACTTGCGATTTCTCTCATTCGTGAGAGTATCTTTTCGTCAAGGTCGTCGATGTTGCGGAAGTTGTGAGTGGCTCGTCTCGCTCTGCGTCACACAGATGTGAGTCAAAGAGGACCCATTCAAACCACCCTACACCTGATCTTGACTGCGCCCTGGTCATATGATACCCACATTCTGCTCTGCACACGTGCACGTCCAGATTTCAACTGCTACATAGCCTTCCCACTCTGTTCTCTGTTCAGAGAGCGGTTCTGGCACAGCATCCAGCAATGACTCGGATGAAAGGCCGCAAAGGGACAAGTCGGGAATTCGCATCGCAACTGTGCTGTGGGCAGTATTTGTTCGCTAAGGCTCTTTGAACTATGACGTTCGCGACTGGCATGGTTCGAGAAGTAACCGCCCTGTTCTTACAAAACACAAAAGATTTGTGTCATGCATGCGTGCAATAACGACAAGACCACCCCGACGATGCCGATGTCGATAGGGGGTCGTGCGCCCCGTGCATTAGTTGGCTTGCTGAGGTTCTTTTTCGTGAAGTCATGACCCCTCTGAGCTGAGAGGAAAAAGCAATATGCGATGCGTTGCAACCGCG